TGTAAGTCCGCAAACATACCGCTGTGCCACTGGGGGTCGAGACGTTTCGTACTCATGCAGATGTTGAAAAATGTTTGCCATAATAGTTCTTAGTCGTTTCGCTCCAATGTTAATGTTTAGACATGTATCAACATAGACTTTAGTCGTTTCGCACTCATGTTGACGTTTAAAACTGAGCCTTAATATAGTACTTAGTCGCTCCACAACCATGTTGATGTGGAAATGTTCCTCATGATAGTTCTCTGCCGTTTCATCAACTTGACGCTGACACCCGTTGAGAGTTTTGTTGTAAAATTACGTGCAGTCTGGAACATCAACGATTAACTTCATGAAATGTCTATAAAACATGTATAAACCAATCAACTGAATGATAGATCTAATTAACTTCAAGAACTATCTAAGTCATTACATCAAACCCGAAGAAAAACCAATAACAATAAAACATTAAATTTAACAACATTAGACTTTTTTTTTTTCTTTGCCCGAGAAATTGATACGTCACAACGTGCATTTTACAGGGACAGAAGAAAATCTAACCGGAGCACGTGCCCTTGGAAAGTCGAGTAGAATCTGCTTCGAACAAACTCCTGCTCTATTTTATGTGTGACAACTGAGAAAACAACTCCGATATTACGTCTTCGTTTGAAAGGAGTTTATATGTTTAGTTTATGAAAAGACAAAGACAAAAGATTTTCGAAAATACCTAGAAAAAAATCTAAACAGAAATATTACTCATTATAATTCTAAGTTAAAAACTGAAAACTAACTCAAACAACGTGTTAGTAGGTTGTTTGACGCTTGCAAAAAATATTTTGTTACAAAAGCTAACAAAGAGCTTGTGTTATGAAGTTAGACTTGTTTAAATTATTAACTTTAAAAACATTTAATTAGCAGTAGTTATTTCATTATTATCCTCAAAATGTGATTTGTAAATGATTTAAAGTTCATAATAGTTACATTTCACTTGCTTAATCTGCTTCACACAATAACATTTACTGTTCATGAAACTGAGAACATATATATACTGTTCACGAGATCTGAGAACATATATATATATATATATATATATATTGTTCATGAGATCTGAGAACATATATATATATATATATATATATATAATGTTCATGAAAACCTATACCACCACTATATCTGTTGTATAAAAGTTGGCCTGAAGATGAGCCCTGGTATTGCGAAAAGGCCTCTCAGATCTAGTGTGATTGACATATAAAACATTCTCCTTTGCTTTCACTCACGGGTTATTAGAATTATTATTCAGTATAACTCTAGAGTATAGCCACACCAGTATAACTTACTGATGATAACAAGCCCTACAAATATCAGTGCCGGCCATTTAAATCAAGATCAGTAGTAGCCCGAGTCCTTTCACTTTTAGGGGCTATCCTGGACAATGTACAATGTTCTGTATTTTACTATCCCATATGATAAATGAAGGACAATTAAGTAGGATGTGTGTGTGTAACAAATCGCTAGAAATCTGCCGGTAGCGTAGACCAACAACATGTTAATGTACCGTATGTCCTGACTATCCAACGGCTTGTGGCCCCAACGCTTGCTAAGGCCGGCACTGAAAGATATACACAAAATAACACCATAAGTAACGCATGTTGAAAACGTTCATCACCAAAGTTCCTGCTGATATTCAATTAGTTATGTTGAAAACGTATCGTACGCTTACTGATACGCGAAAAATCTGATAAGCACGTACACCAAGTCACCCCTTGTCATTGTGTGTTGTGTAATAAAAGTTTGTACCAAGCTGTTATCCAATTAAATAATTCTACTTCTTCCTCATAACACGTAGTTTTAATAATAAGCAAACTCTTTTAAATTGCAAAAGAGTAGGCTAACGTTGTACAATTTAATCGCTAGTTATATATATTATTTAATGAAATGACAAAATTGACTCGCTTTTAAACCAGGCTTTTATAGAGAATTATATGATGATTATAATCAATGAACCCCAGAAATATATAAAAAATTCCAAACAAACCTATTGAAGTTATATTATATAGAACAACTATTAAATTCAGAAAATATAATCACTGCATTTGAAACCTGTAGTCGTACTATCCCACACGTGAGTTAGATTTAGCTCTTGGGTAACTACCTCTCTCAAACAATGCTTTTGCTCAAATCAAAAATGTTTTAGTATGAGATTGGATTTTGGAATATTTCTACTTCCTGAGTAACTTTTACCATTCTGAAATTTGCTTGAAATCTCCCCAGGACAAATACCGCGGTTTTTGATCGATGGTTTATTTCTACTCAAACATATTGAAATATACTCATTTGTTGGCAACTTTTCAAGTTGATTCTCATTCAAAGGATCAATTGTTTGGACAACGAGTGAACTTGCAACTACAGGTTGTGAAACTGAATTTTTAAATACCTCATATACCATACATTTTTTCCTTTACGTGTTTATACATTCAAAACAAGATTAATTAAAAAGCAAACAACTCTTTCTAAACAGGTGTTTACTTCCCGTTGTGGCCCAGCATGGCCAGGTGGTTAGGGCGCTCGACTAGCAATCTGAGGGTCGCGGGTTCGAATCCCCGTCACACCAAACATGCTCACCCCTTTCAGCCGTGGGGCGTTATAATGTTACGGTTAATCGCACTATTCGTTGGTAAAAGAGTAGCCCAAGAGTTGGCGGTGGGTGGTGATGACTAGCTGCCTTCCCTCTAGTCTTACACTGCTAAATTAGGGACGGCTAGCGCAGATAGCCCTCGTGTAGCTTTGCGCTAAATTCAGAACAAACAAACTTCCCGTTGTAAAACAACTAACCCGAGCTTATTTATGACTTACTGAAAAGTCTAGGCTTATTAATAACACGTAACAGTCAAAGTTACAACTTTCTTGTTTGTTAATCATAGTACTATCAATCGTGAGATGCAAAAAATACTTATTATTATACCATCAAACATATATATAATATTATAATAATTATATAATAATAAGTATATAATAATACGTATGTATGTTTGTTTTTGAATTTCGCGCAAATCTACAAGAGGGCTATCTCCGATAGCCGTCCCTAATTTAGCAGTGTAAGACTAGAGGGAGGGCAGCTAATCATCACCACCCACCGCCAACTCTTTTACCAACGAATAGTGGGATTGACCGTCACATTATAACGCCCCCACGGCTGAAAGGGCGATCATGTTTGGTGTGACGGGGATTCGAACCCGCGACCCTCAGATTGCGAGTCGAGCGCCTTAACCACCTGGCCATGCTGGGCCCCAAAATTTTGGATTATATAACTCTGACATATGAATGTTTCCTATTTACCAGGATTTTATGCCGAGAAACTCACTTTATAGAAAATAAAAGTTTAATGACGGCTAGACTGGGTGACGAAGAAAACTTTATTACAAATGTGCGACGTTTCGACAATATTATGCCATCCTCAAGTACCACGTCGTACATTTATAATAAAGTTTTCATCATTTACCCATTCAAGCCATCTCCAAAGTTTTATTTTCTTATCAGCATGATGATCACCATCTCCTTTCTACAATTACGTTGTTAATATCTAATACTGTACATGTAAAACAAAATATAAAAAACTGTATAGCATTTGTATGAAGAAAAAAAAAAGTTCAAAAATTAACAACAATAATACATGATCATTATAGTTGGTATTCCAGTAAATAGTTTTCACATTTCCAACTTCATTATCACCCTTGAAATTTCTTTATTACACTTAATTTTACACTGGTATCAAAGTACGTGGTACGTTACCTACCGACGACCATTAATGTAAAGTCGAATCCTCGCTTAACGGCCTTTCGATACACCTGATTCGGTAAGTTGGCGAAACCAACATAACCCTGAACGTCATTAGATGAAGTAGACGACTCCTTTTCTTTGTCTTTTTCTTTTGTACCGTTTCGTTTCTCCTTATTCAAGAAAATTTCTTTGCCTGAGCTAGTCATTCCGGAAGTGTTGGTAGTGGGAAAATTGGACAACGTATTGGAAGTCATAGATGTGTGGCCATCTTGTCGGGAAAATAGTTCTCGCTTATTGGAGGTCTAGAAGAGAAAGACAAAAGACTAATATACGTAACAACTTGTCGTTTGTACGTTCACTCTTATGGACAGTGCCTTAAATTCCATATAACAGCTACACAAACTGTCATTTCTAGAATTGCCCCTCAAAATCATCGTGTAATCCATTAAAATACACTAGGTGTACTTCCGCTGGGTCTCCGAAAGTGTTATGTTGCAAGAGTAAATAAAACCAGAATTAAGAGAAAGAAATATTTTATTGTTTTGTAGCCTACAGAGTGAAAATTCTTCTCGTGATT